CACAGCTGGGCAGCGCAAGTCAAAGGAAGAGGAGAAAACAGTCACAGGAAGAGGGGCGCTGCTTGGCCTCACAGACTTTCCAGACCTCCAGGGAACACAGCCACAGGCTCCACACTGCACCACACTTATTTCAGAACAAAATGGAAGCACCTGGCCAAGATGGCCGTAATGTCAGCCCTGGCGGGAAAGAAAATGGGAGGCGGGAACAAAAATGTAACCAAAACACAGGGAGTGTAGAAATGCCCTCCGCGGTGGACCTGTGGTTTGGAGCTATCTAGCGAGACCTGAAGAATGAAGACGGGGGAGCAGAGCTGATGATGGTCCCTGAATGAGCCCCCCAACCCCAGGAGCCTCAAAGGGAGTATAAAGAGCTGTGGGCTCTTGTGCCTGTGAAGGTGGGTGTTCCTTCCAGAATCCTCACTCTGATAAAAAGTGGAAATTAGGATGAAGTGATAAGTGTGTGACTGAAAATGAGTGGAGCCCCCCTCCCCCCACCCGTGAGTGTAGCAGAGAAAGGCAATTTGGTCTGTGCTTCCCGGAGTCTCCACCAGAGGCAGCAAAGGCTCCTGGAATCACAGGGACACAGCTACTACAGAGCACTTTCGAGGTGCAGGAAACGCCATGAAGAACTTGACGCGCCTCATCTCATCACACCCTCACTTTCAGATGAGCCTGCCGACATTCAGAATGTGACAGTTAGTCAGACACTGCTGTGTTTGCGCCCGGGAGCCCACCCAGAGCCCCTGCGGAGGTCTCACGTCTCTGCCTACAAGTGGTCAGTAGGAAGTGGCCCTGGAGTATGGCAGTGGTGCTGTCATGTCCCCCCTCGTTTGCAAAGCAACGCCAACCTAGACACGTTTAATGTAGTGTGTAGTCTTTAGCTCCAAGTGCACATGCAGGCCCCTTGCCCTGTGTTTCCCGCGCCTGCTCACCACACACCAGAGACTGGGTTTGTGCTGGTGCAAGTCGGGAGGAGTGTGTCTGCTCACAGCTGCGCTTCCACAGGAAATGCATCAGGGAGGGCGCACAGGCTCGCAGCTGGCTCTGCATGTGTGCTAAGCCCCTGACAAATGTCTGGCTTCTCCTCTAAAAGAAGCGCTGTGGTGAGGTCGAGGCCACGCAGGGTTATCAACCCTAGCCGTCAAAATTGCACTGGAAGCCCACTTCAGGTGGTCCCGGGCTGTGACTGTGCTAGCTCACTGAATTTGCACCGCAGGATGGGCAGACTGTGCTCATTCTGCAAGTGAGGGCCTGAAGACACAAGGGAGTGCCTTTCAGTGTTGGCCCCGGAGTCCTGCCCTTTCCTCCAGCCTGTGCAGCCTCCCTGCCTCTCCCAGGCCAAGGGGTTCAGGAGACCTTCTCCGTGTATCTCTCCTGCAAAAATATTTCCTCATGTACTATAGTGGATGCTGGAGGGGGTGGGGGTAGGGGGTGGGAGTGGTAGCGTGTGGTAACCTACATCTGAAGAGGTGTGAGCCTGTTCCTCCAAATTGCACAGTGTGGTAAATCAGAGTTATCTGAACGAAAATAATACAATTCGTAAAGTACTTCCTGAGTGAACTGGAAGCCATATATGTCCTGTAGGTGAATGACACATGGCCGGCTGGATGTAACCTAAGTCTCCCAAGTCTTGCCAGTACCTTTGTGAAAAGGGAGTTTGGGATGGTCACAGGACAGTCACATGGGGTACACTTCTGCTCCACCCCAAAAGACAGAGGAAAATCAACTCTTGCTTGAAGCTACAGAGAGGGATCACCCTAAGGACAGCTTCTGCTGGACAAGATGGGGGAGCCCCCCCTGGACACAGGAGGGCAAGCTAGTTGTGTGTGTGAGCCCCTGGACCCCGCTCCTCGGCCTCTCTGTCAAGGAGGACACAGTCATTATTTGTGACTTGTGACCCTGTTAATGTGTGAATGACAAATCCATTTCCTGCCCCTCAGTTATGGATGACATAGGGATAGCGGTCGGGGGACAGAGTGTCACGACTTTGAGTCTGGAGTCGGGATACCCAAGGGCCATGACTCACCAGCTGGGGCTCTTGGCCCAGTTGCCATTTTCAGAAAAGATGCTAGTCAGCTCTTAACCACTGACCTGGACAGAGACAGAGTGGCCGGCCTCTGCTCCCTTGCTTACTTGAGTTCTACCTAACACAAGCAGGACACCGATGCCCGGAACTGCCAACTTCTCCAACTGCTGGACAATCACCTTCTGTCTCTTCCAAGGCAGAGACAGGAGTGCACCTGCTTTCCAATATTCCAACAGGGTCCAGTCCCCCTGGCGCCTCTTCACACCATTTGGCCCCTCAGGCTTTCTGGGAACCACCAGCATGTCAGAAGTCTCCGTCTGACCCAGTCACATCCTTCTGAAGTGGAGGTTCCCCCACGTCAAGCCAGTGGGGACTGGCACAGGTGTAACCACACCAGCGACGCAGATGGTCTCCTGGATTATCCCACTGTCTCCCCAATCTCCGGTTCAACAGAGAGCAGACTGTAGCCCAGTCTGCGAGCACAGCCCTGGGGACAAAGTCCCTCCAGGTTAAAAAAAGTCCATAGACCTTTGGGGTTTGGCCAACATTCTGTTTGTGATGTAAACTTTTCCCCAAATGTCCATTCCTTCATTCCTCTATATTCATTCAGTATTTAATGAGCACTTATACTGTCTTAACCTGAGAATTCAACCACAAATAAAATAAAGACTGTCCACCTGGAGACAACAATTTAAGAGGGGTGAAATTGTTATCTCCAGGTGGAAGAGGGGTGACTAACAATAAATACAGCAACCCCTATTGCAGGATTTACGGTAGCTGAGAGCTGTGCTAGCTTAGAGAGAGATTTGCTACCTAAAGACACAGAGGTGGGGAGGGAGGAGGAGGGGTTTTTCTAGTAAGGGTTAACTAAAGCTCATCTGGAATATTTCTTGATACCTAGAATGAAAGTCATTATGCGGATTCTTTTACATACACAAATGCAATAGCCAAGGCTTCCTTTGTCAGAAATGCTGAGTCCCCAGCTCCCTGGACCACATCAAGGAAGGGCTGTAGTCCACAGCCCAGGCCAGCAGTGTTTCCCAGCCTGGCACCGTGTGCCTGCACAGCGAATGGGTTAAGGTGGCAGCGCCGAGCCCGGAGCACCGCATAAACAGAGCACTAAGCAGGCGCTCGCCCATCTCCCAGCCCTGGGCTGTCAATCAGCTGTCACCCGCCCGCACATCAGCAGTGCGTGCACATCACTGGGCTGTCAGCAAAGCAGCTGATGAGCCTCGGCTTCAGACTGTCAATCATCTTTGTTTCTTTTCTCTGCTCGGGAAATATTTTGGCTCAGAGAAACAAAGAGCCCTGGACAGTCACTAATGGAGCCTCACCCCCAAATGATGTTGGGGAGGGGGCGGGAGCAGAGGGGAGATCAAGCATCTGTTTTATTAGTAGAGACTGGAAAACTGTAATTCTAGAATTCCAGTTCCCTGAACAGATCTTGCTGGATTCCTAAATCCAAAACAGAAAGAAAGAAAAAGCACGGGAACATAAAGCAATATAACTTGAAGTTATCTGAGCTGAAGCTTCAGAAAACCGTAAGAAGGCTTGGAGGATGGATGACTGCTCGTTCAAAATTATTCTCCATTGATCAGGGAGGTTTGGGGGGAGAGAGTAATTGCTGGATTCCTGAGTTCATTTATCTCCCAGGGACTCCAGAAACAGCAGCTTCTGAATCCGCTTTCTGGAGCTGAAGCAGCTGGGGGAAGGAGGGGTACCCACAACAGCAAGTGAATAAGACAGCATCTGGGGGCCCACGGTCAGTGTTTGCAAGGGGAGCTACTATGTTTGAGGGTAAAGACAGTCACCAACACCTGCTGTCAGGCTGCCCTTCTCACCCCAAATACTTACGGGAAATGTCCCACGCCCTTCGAAGCCCACAATATCACATCTGCAGACGAACCCCTGGCAGCGACTGACTGGACAGCAAAGCCAAGTTAGCCTGCTCTTTGCAGTTTGCAAAATGACCGTGCATTAGCATCATGCACCAACTCATCATTCAGTAGAGCCAAATACTGCTCCGATGTTTAGACTTCCCACAGACGAAAAAACAACACTTGTACCCTAGTGGTTTTAAGGACACTGAGCAACCACCGTCGCTTTCCAGCCCACTTGTCAAAGTCCTTCTACCCATCCCCTCCCCAGAGCTCTGAATGGACTCACAGGGCGGCAGGTTCCAGCTGCATCTCAGTGCTGGTGACACGGGAGATGTTTTACACTCCGACAGATCCTTTCATACTTGCAACTCTGATTCCTGAAAACACATCTCTCTCTGATCTAAGCGGACATTAATTGCTTTTGTGCTGATGTACCTATGTCTCTTGGTCCTAGAATACAACTAGCAAATGTGATCTCTGACAAGTTGGCTGAGCCTAATCAGGCCAGATCAGCTGTTACCCAAGGTGCCACAGGCTGTAATTTGAGGATCTTTACAGAGTTATCACTCTCCCGAAAGACAAGGAACTATAATTCTGTCAACACTAATCCCAAACGGTAAGGTTCAAAGCAGCTGTGGCCTCTCCCGGCCCCCCAAGAAAAAATAGCACTTGTCAAATAAATGCCTGAGATAACTGATAAGGAGAATTAGAAGGATGTGGCCCGAATCTGTGGCTGGGAAGGTTTTTTTTTTTTTCTTTAAAGGAATCTTCAGAAGCAGGACGTTGGGTGTCAAGGGTGAGCTGTCAGGACAAAAGGGGAGGAAGGGAAGAGAGAGACAGAGCTGCACCACCATCCAGCTCCCACTCGTCCTGGGAGACTTGGAGCAGAGTCCCCCCGACCTGGCCAGCACCCAAACATCCAAACTTGAGGTGATCCCTCTCAGCCCCAGGGGCTGCCTCGGTGACGACTGGGTGGCCAGCGAGAGCTCAGGTCTCGCTGTCAGACTATAGCGAGGCGCTCTGCTCTCGACACTCCTGTGGGTTTTCCAAGAGGCACCATGAGAAGACAATATTAGAAAAATTAATTCTCTTACTGTATCGCTTTGGTCCATCTTCCAAACAAAACGAAAGGGTTAATGTGGCGTCGTCCTCAAAAAACTCAGTGGCGAAAGCGTCCCACCAGAGATTGTCACTGTCCTGCAAAGAGACAGATGGTTTATTTAACAGCCCAGAGTGGAAAGTGTCTCCGAGAGTACAAGAAACAGCAAAAGAAAGAACACCTGTGGGGTGTTCTAGAAGGGGAGCAGAGGCTTGGGGTGACTTCACAGGAATTGCTTACACGGCGACTGCATTCCAATTCTATACACGAGTTATGCAAAGCAAATGAAAATTAATTCTCCAGGACATATTGGGGAGGTTGAGTAAACGGACTACAAAACATGATGTGATATTTTCACAAAATGGGTTTGCATTTAATGTAAATGACAGTCCACGCTTCTCCTCTCTCTTGGCTCTTTAAAGAACTGTATTTTATAAACAGAAGCCACCACAGTACAGCAGGTCAAGGAGACCAAGTTTCATGAAGACTCTTTTTTCAAAAAGAGGGGAGAGTGGCCCGTAACCCTGTTCTCTGCTAACGGAATTCTCAGAGAGACAAGTATGGCTACTTGGTGATACAGGCTCAGGTGAGTTTATGGCCAGGCAGCCAGCGTGGCCCGTCCTCAGGGACTGTGCTGAGCTTACAGGCGAGCACTGGCTGGGTATTAAAACAATGATTAAAAATAGAGCAAGTCAGCAGAACACAGACAGTCCGCACGAACTCTGTCTTGGGTTGAGAGTTTCTCTTGCTCAGCCAGGAAACACTTTGAAATTGGCAGTTTGAGGGGCTGAAATGGCTGCTGATCTCCGAGGAGGAGGTGGAGGAGGGAGTGAGGAGGCTGTGCAGAGTCCTGTTTACAGGGGACTCCTACCCAGACCTCATTCTCTGTGGAGTACGCCATTCACTCCCACATTCTTCTGTGTAACCTTCTGTGTAACCTTTTTGCAAAGAATTGTTGGTTCGTGCCAGATTTTAAGACTAGATGTTTCACAGCTGCCTGTCAGATGGGGGGCAGGGTCAGAAGAGGGGCTGTTGCTCCCTACTCAGTGGTCCCACAAAGTTGTTCTGCTTATGATCATGTGATGTTGTCCCTGGCAGGCCTCAGGAACAAGGCTTCAATTCTGACAAAAACAGAGAAGGGGCCACAGAAAATGGAAACTGTCCTCTTTCCAGAAAAGAAACTTCTCAAACCAATGATTTTTGTTGTTGTTTTTTGTCTGTTTCTCTGGCTTCTTTCCAATCATCACACCAAATGCCAAATACCTAGTACACAGAAAGCCTCCCTGGGGCAATTCAAGCTCCCCACACAAACTTCCTTCCTCTCCTTTCAAAAACAAGTATTTCTTGAACACTTACTAAGTGCAGGCCCTGGATGAGAGATTGGTCTCCACCCTGAAACAGCTTGAAGTCCACCAGAAGGAGATAACCAAGATAGTATGACAGTCATACCTGAGACACCATGCAGGAGGCCTGTCAGAGTTTCTAGAAAATGCCATAGGCTTGGAAGTAGTAGCACCAGAAGGAAAAGAAGCCTATCTGGAATCCTGGATCACTGGTTTCTTTTTTTTTTTCTTATTTATTTATTTATTTGTTTGTTTGTTTGTTTGTTTGTTTGTTTTATACCAGTTTATTTTTACATCATTTTGTCCATTTTTTTTCCATCTCAATTATAATCCCC